CCAGACTCCCGCCGTGGTGGACTCGTTCAACTGGCTGCCCTCATATCGCAACCGCGAAAGACAGAGAGCCAAACTTCAATCTCTCACCCCCAGAATGAACCATCTCATCGGGCCTCATCCACCTCCCTCTCCCTTTCCAGCCTCTTAATCCCCCGTTCCACCCTCTCCACCCTCCCCTCCGCCTCAGCCACGGACTGCCCATACCTCAGAACCCGCCCCTCATACCACGCCCGCATGATCCTCTCACTCCTCGCCCTGAGCTCGGCGATATCCGCCTCCTGCGCCAGCTGTGTCGCCTCGACGCCCTTCATCCTCGGCACCAGCGCTGCAAGATCAGCGCTTAGCTTGGGGTCGGGGACTGGAGTGTCAATTGCAATAGCTGTGAGGGCCGAGGCGGTGGAGGAGAAGGCGGGGGCGTAGGAGAGGACTGTTGCGCGGAGGGCTTCGGGGGAGAGGGATGTTGGTGGGGGGAATTGGCGCTTGGGGCTTGGAAGAGAGATGGGTGGGTGGTGTCTGGATAGAAGTTAGTTGGTGGGGGGAAGGGAGGGGGGAGGGAAGACTTACAGATCTTGAGGATGTCGGAGTAGACTTTGACGTGGTGGGTGAGGATGGCGAAGCGGTGTTCGAGGTCGGCTAGGTTGGTGGCTGTGGAATCGCGGGGAGGATCTTTGGGGGGCAACCAGGGGCCGTAGAGGATGTGTTCAATTCGGAGGACGCGAGCCTCGAGGAGGGAAATTGTCGCGAGAGTGGTCTTGTCGAGGGAGTCGTCCATGGTGGGCGATCGGTCGGTGCCCAAAACAGTGGCCCAATTGGCGGGCGACCGATGAATTAGACGGTAGTGAAGTAGACAATCGAATGGGCTCGAGTTGTTAGGTGAGCTGCGGTTCTACAAGAGAAAAAAAAGAGCTATGCTCTCAAGGAAGTGCGGTGTTGCTGGCCTCGTCCAACTTATTTGTTTGCACGAGTCGGTGGACACGACGGCGCGATGGTGGCTTCCCCGGTTCCCCTGAAAAAGGACCCGCAGGATGTGTGGTAAGGCTGAGGGGGAAAAGTGGCGTGTGGCTGTCAGCGGCTTTCGTCGGCCCGCCAGGCCTGCCATGGCCTGCCAATGAACATGGCGTGCGAGATTAACCCCGATTTGCTGGGAACTTGCTGGGATGCCTGCCCTGGCACCTGGCGAGCGCTGGCCTCTTTGACTTCTCCTGACCAGTTCAAGCGGCAAGCCTTGACGGCAGCACCACTCAACGGCGGCATATCCACACGAAACGGTTGAATCTCTCGATATTCTTATCGACAGTGCAGGCTGGGAGGACTTTCTTTGACGAACACTCGGCGCGGTCGCCATTCTCGACAACGAGCTGCCTTCGCACTCGCAATCTGCAATTCGCAACTCGCAATACGCAATCCCGATTGTCTGACCTCGGGGCTCCGCGCTGACGACGACGACACCCTTTGCATCCAACTTTGCATCCGACGGCGACGCACCGCGCAACACAAACAAACGGCTTCTAGCCACATTCACTCTTTCCCAAGTGAACCAATCTGTCGACAACATACACCTTCCAAGCGACTGGATACAAACAGAGGACGCGACTGTGATCAATCGGTCGGTGTGCTATGACTGGATACTCGGCCATTACAGATGGTAGCGCTATAGGTGGCGTTCGCGGCGGAAATATGGTGCAGTGAGTCTATCTGATGGCTGTCTTTGCCAAAGCAAGACTGACGATGGATCAATAGACGACGGAGAGGGCACAGCCCCAAGTCGGGCGGCGGCCATGCCTCGATGATAAGCAGCAACATCAATCTCCTCAACACCAGTGCGTGATATCCACATACCTCTTTTAGCCCAGTCTATGTCCCAGTTGCTAACAGCCCACTCAGTCATTGGCGCAGGGACACTCGCCATGCCCTCGGCCATGTCCCATTTTGGTGTCACCCTTGGTGTGGTGCTCATCGTCTGGTGTGGACTCACATCGGCCTTCGGTCTATACCTCCAGTCGCGATGCGCGCGATACATCGATAGGGGCTCATCTTCTTTCTTCGCCCTCTCCCAGCTCACGTATCCGAATGCCGCTGTGGTCTTCGATGCTGCCATTGCCATCAAGTGCTTCGGTGTCGGTGTCTCGTATATGATCATTATTGGTGATCTTATGCCTGGCGTCGCGTTAGCATTTGGCAGTGAGGCAACAGGTCTTGCCTTTCTTGCCGACAGAAAGTTTTGGATTACCGTCTTCTTTCTCTTGTTCATCATACCCTTGAGTTTTCCCAAGAAGCTAGACTCGCTCAAGTACACCAGTATCATTGCGCTCATCTCCATCGGCTATCTTGTTATTCTGGTAGTCTATCACTTCGCTGGCGATGAGTATCCGAATAAGGGCGACGTTCACCTTATCACCTGGCAGGGTCCAGTCGCTGCCCTGAGCAGTTTACCGGTCGTCATTTTTGCATACACGTGCCATCAAAACGTTAGTCTCGCATATCCTTGGCTGTCGGCTCCCTCGCTAACTTGCTTGCCAGATGTTCTCCATTCTCAATGAGATCAAGGACAACTCGCCCCTGAGCATCGTCGGCGTCATCGGCGGCAGCATCGGCTCCGCCGCCTCTGTCTACATATTAGTGGCGATCACTGGCTACCTCACCTTTGGAGACAACGTCAGGGGCAATATTGTCGAGATGTGTAGGCATTATTTCACGATCAAATGTGCAATTGCATACTAACTCTTACCGGCAGATCCCGCCACGGTTTCGTCCACTATTGCCAAAGCCGCAATTGTCATCCTGGTGACCTTCAGCATTCCTTTGCAGATCCACCCCTGCCGCGCCTCAATCGACGCCGTGCTGAGATGGCGCCCCAACAAGGGCTCACGAGCCCCCACTGCCAACAGCCCGCCCCTTCCCGGGAGCCAGCCCCTTCTGCCCTCTGTAAACTCGGGCGTTCTTGACAGCCACGGTGCGCCCGTTGTGGCCATTTCAGAGTTGCGCTTCGCTCTCATCACAAGTGGCATTCTCGTCCTTAGCTACCTCACGGCCCTCAACGTGTCCAGCTTGGAACAGGTTCTAGCCTACGTCGGTAGCACGGGGTCAACCGCCATCTCCTTCATTCTTCCAGGACTGTTCTACTACAAGATCAGTGATCCGGAAGGCATCCATCACCAGCGTCTGTCCAAGGAAGACGATGACGCGGATTACTCGGAGAACTCGGACGATGACGAAGTTGAGCCGTCCACATCGGGCATGCTAGACAGTATTGCCAGTCTGCACTCGGTGGCCAGTGTCGTCAACAGCGTGACTTCGCACTCGCTGAGGTGGCGCCGCAAGTGGCGGTGGGACTTGGAGCATCTTGAGCATGGCCTACTGCGAAAGATGGCTCTGGCGCTGGCGGTGTATGGGGGTTGTGTCATGGTTGTATGCTTGTTGATGAATATTTTTGGGCACCATTGACCGTGCCTGTGGGATTTGATGGAGAATTTTCGTATGTGCAGATGCGTCGCGCAAACTGGGGAGGGTGAGGTTTTACAGGTGTCGCAAATCGAAAGGGGTTCAGGGATGGGCATTTTCGGGAGCATTATGGAAAGGGGGATACAGCAGTTCAGAACGGAGTGGTTGGCTTTTGGCGCCGGGTTGCATTGGATTATGGACATGAACCAAGGAATACTGCTTAGCAGGGTAAAATCATGATAAGAAACATGGTTTTTGTATTCTGTATTTCGGCCGAGTTTGTCTTGTGTGGCTAGTTTCATGTTGGCGCCTGTCTTTATAGAGTGTGTTGAATATTGTGTCTTGTCTGAGCGAATCTTGCGATGTGATTGTTAGGGTTATCTTGGCTTTTGGGTGTTAGTCACAGATGGCGCGGTCAGCAGAAGTATTTAAATTACTCTGATTTAAACCACCATAATCATGTAAATCCTCACCATCACTTGCGACTTGACGATACAAACATCAAACACGACAAACTCGCTCACCCACCAGCGAGGAGCATATTCCAACACAAAAGACCGAGCCAGAGAGCCAACTTGAACCCCTCCCAAGAATACACCACAACATGGTGTAAACATAGCCAAATGGCGATGGCAGCTTGCCTAGAAGCAAACAGAAAAAAAAAATTAAAGAATCACAGGGACCGGGGTCAAGGGACAGAAAGACAAAGAGAGAAACTCTCTCCCGCCGGAGATTGAGCCCGGGTCCCGAGCGAGATCCGGTTGGATGAGAAGCTCATTTACCGACCACTATACTACGGAAGACTTGCAGGTGTGGGGGAGCTGAAGAAAAAAAAAAGAAATCAGTAGTAGAACATCGTGGGTCCTCCCACTCCGTAAGTTCTACCCACCCTCAACTTCAGAAAGTCCATGAAGAGAGGGGTATGAAGCATTCTGCACGCCTACATCGCTGCCGACAACCGAGTTCGTGGATAAAGTAATTGCAACAAAAATGAGATGCCATGTTTCCACGCCTGAGACGATGGCGAGTGCCAGAACGGCAAAAGGGATGGGACGTGAGGCTCGAACTCACGACCTTTAGATGTCTCTGATGTTTAACCACATCATGTTATGAGACCAACGCTCTACCAACCGAGCCAACATCCCAGCTTATTTGATGAAGGTGGGGGGTTGGTGATTCCGTGAAAGGGTGGTGCGTGGGAAGACGGAGCGGAGTGGAGAGAGAGTCGGTTGAGGTGGAGGAGTGGTAGGTGGGAATGGGGGTTTGAAGAGAGGATGGATGCCTTGAAAATGGTGGGAACCGAAGTTAACTCATCGAGTGCCTTGACGGCTTGGTTGAGGGAGGAGGGGTATCAGCTAACAAGTACTTTGGCGATGTGTTGAGCCTCCTGGCGTGTTTCCCCCTAATCTGACCAAAAAGACAATTACTCAGTGCCAACTTGATAGACACAGACGGATAGGAACGTATTCAACAATGTGGGATGGGTGACCTAAGAATTCGCAAGCTTGCTGCAGGGTTGATGAGAGACAAAAAGGAAAGCGCCAAGTACCTGACATTCAGGTCAGGAAAACAGTATTGAACTATTCACCTTCGCATTACTTAGTATTCTGGAGAGAATATTAGTACGACACTCTAACCAGCTGAGCTAATCGGGCTGCTAGATTGTTGATAAGGTTGCTGCGGAATATGACTCAAGGAGAGGATCGAAGAGTGGACATAGCAATTGCTTCAATCGTGGCAATCGATCCCTGTGATATCTCGAAATAACGATAAGCCTCGCTACTCTCATGTCCCTTGTCCCGGCACCGCAGCTATCTAAACATTAACGTAGAGCAACTGAGCGGGAGGCAAGAAGGGAGACGGGTCACGAATCCGATGTCACCTCCCTCATACACTGCGTCAACAGGATTTCTACCCCCCTGGCCCCATCCAACCGATGGCAAATACGAGGGAACCATCCAGTCGCTTCACGAGTTGCCCAGCCTGCGGGTCCCGCGTTTGAGTCAAGCCGCAAGTTCAGAGGTATGTCAAATATGTTGTAAATTTAGTATACAGCCCAACCTCACCTCGCAAAACGCCAGTCAATGCCTTTTATGTACAAGTTTTCGTCAAACACCTCTCAACCCTGGCCCGCGCCCGCCGCCGTTGTGGTCTCCGTGGTCGCCGTCTTGGCCGAAGGCCTATACTTCGGCTGGAGGATGCCCACCTGTCGCTTCCGTTAGCTTCTCGGGCCCTCAAAATCTACGGGCGACCGCGTGTGCGTGTGCATGTGCATACCAAGGACAATAACCGCCAGACGGTGTCGCTCGGCTGGGCGCCCACACCGATCCAGTACCGCGCCCGCGTGACGTCGAGCTTGATGTCCTTGTGCAGCTTGCCCGACTCGTCGTACGTGTCCTTCTTGGGGATAGGGTCGTAGGTGCCGATGACCTCGAGGGGGCGGCTGTTACGCGCAGTTCTACAGCGGCACGAAAATTAGCTGGTGTCGGGATTGGAGATGGCTAATGCTTCGGGGAGAGTCGAGAGAAGGGAATTCGGGTGGGTTCAATCGACCGAGGGGCGTACCGTGCGTGGGCGACGACAATGTTGTAAAAGGGCGAGTTGGTGCGGCCGAAGCGCGCGAGGCGGATTTTGACCACCATCTTGCGAGCGAGGGGAGTTGTGGCTTGCAATGGCGGGATGGGGACTAGAAGCCTTTTTCGGAACGAGGTCGCGATCTCGAGATTCGCGCAGGGCAGGCCTAAAAATTTCGAGCAAGCCACAGCGGCCCAGTGTGCTGTCGGTGCGCGGGCCACTTCCACCATCCATGGAGGTGTGGGAGTGTGTGGCTCGTGCAGTTAGTCAGCGCTCTTACTGACAGCTGCGGCTGCAGCAGCAGTGGGAACTTTTGGCGGTTGCATCGACTGACCTAGAACGTCTAGCGGCGTGTTGGGCGTGTGGGCGTGTCGCGGTGATGTCAGTCCATTCCATTCGTCCCGTTCGTCCCCCTCATGAGGTGCCATCTAGACGATTGATTCACTGAGCATTGTTTCTATCCAGTCCCCAATCTCTGATTTGCATCGGTCGTTTATTTTGTTCGCTCAGTTTTGCTTTATTCACACTCACCAGACACCCGCACGTCATTTATTCGCATCATGGCGCTGAAGGTCAGTGAGTTCCTGGCAGCGGCTCGTCCATGACAGCGAAGGCTTCCATCCCATGCGTCTCCGTCGTGTGGATGCGATATGTCGTGGATTTTGAGCCGTTCTATTTCCATCTGCTAGGATTATATTTTTTTTTATGTATTTTGCTGACTCCATGGCAGACTCTCTCGGCGAAGGCTGCGGCCGCTCTGGACAAGGAGCTCATGAGCACTGGCGCTTTCTCCATCGACCAGCTCATGGAGCTGGCAGGACTGTCGGTCTCGCAAGCAGGTGTGTCACGCCCGCCCTCGGCCGCCCCGCATTCTCACTCACAACCCGCACCGACGAAACGAGCAAAAGCACCCATAACTAACCTTTTGGCAGTCTATCGAGTTCATCCCCTCAGCAAGGGACCCAGGATCTTGGTTGCTGTGGGCCCTGGGAACAACGGTTAGCCCTCGCCCTTTTGTTTGTTTGGCCGTTCAGGGGGTTGGCCCATGCGCTTACCAGCTCTTCAGGGGGTGATGGGCTTGTTGCCGCCCGCCACCTTCGCCATTATGGCTACCATCCTACCATTTATTATCCTAAGCGCAGCAAGAATGAGCTTTATCAGGTACGTAAACATTCACCTCTTCCCACTCGATTCATGCGTCTTGAAGGATTTATGGGACATGTAAATTATGTTTCTTCATCAGTCGTATGACAAGTCCTATCATGCCATGTCCCTGGAAGCTATTAGGGACAATGGTTCCTGCGATATAGCACCATCATAATCAGCGTTGCGTGTACATTATGGCTGTTATGAATGCCTTCTCTTCCTCCCTTAGTCCTCCAGTCCCTCCTTCCCAACCGGTCCGTGCTTGCAACTAAAACGCTTACTCGTATTCTTAGCGTCTAGCCAAGCAGCTCGAGGACCTCGAGGTGCCCTTTGTCGACAACTTCCCCGCTGCCCTCGGCTCGACCGACCACGTCGTCGACGCCATTTTTGGTTGGCTCACCCTGTTTCGTTCCGCTCATCTCCTCCGTTTGTCGTGCCGCCAGAAACTGAGCTTCCTTCTCCGCAGGCTTTAGTTTCTCGGGCGAAGTTCGTGAGCCCTTCCCGGCCGTCATCCGGGCCCTTGAGGAGACCAGGGTCCCGGTGACCTCGGTCGATGCCCCGTCGTCGTGGAACATTGAAGACGGGCCGCCCCCGTCGGGCGCCATCGGCAGCGCTTTTAACCCTGATGTCCTCGTTAGTTTGACGGCACCGAAACCATTAGTAAAGCATTTCAAAGGTCGCCATTTTGTTGGTGGACGGTACGTACCAATTATTTTAATTTTTTTGGGTATTTTTCACAGCGCCGCTGCCCTGCCGCGTTAGACCATTCCTTTCCCTCTTTCCACCTTTCTCTTTGCCTTCTCCACCCTTCTTTCCTCCCATCCTCTTCCTCCCTCCCCCTCTCCTACCCCGCCCTCCGTAGATCCTCACGGCTATTTTTTGTTTGGTTGGGCTGATTGAGCACCCCCGAATCAGGTTCGTCACGCCGGCGATTGCCAAAAAGTATGACCTCGACCTGCCGGAGTACGAGGGGATCGATCAGGTTGTTGAAGTCGGGCCTAGCGGGCAGAAGCTCTAAGGAATGTAAAGCAACGCCGGCGGGCTGTTTTTTTTTGGGGAGGGAGAGGGAGCGAAAGCCGGGGACGTTGTTCTTGTTTAGCGCGCTGTCGTTGTTGACCAAAATGTGTGTCCTTTGTGTCGTGGGCCCCGATGCTCGCTGCTACATGACGACGCACCCGCCGTTCCGACTGTTGGGGCAGACTGGGCTCGGACAACCTCCCTCGTCCATCTCGAGGCGGCGCACGATGGTACCACGCGGGCAGCGCACCAGGGGAGGGCGGAAGTCCCGGCAGAACTCGACATAGACCAGGTAGTCTTTCCCGCAGGCTGGGCAGTCACTGGTAATGTGCTCAGTGCACATTTAAAACTCGGATGGATACCGTTGGTGTCGTCGTTGCAAAGTCAGTGAGCCCGCAGGTTTTCGGTCGACTGTCGTTGCTGTTGATGATGCAAGGAGACTTGCTTCGAAGACGGAGACGGTAGCCGGCGAGGTCCTAGTCCGGTCGTCGGGCGACATAGGCCTTTTTCTCCCTCTCTCCTTCTAGATTTTTCCGTATTTCTGATCTTTTTTTTTCCTTCTTCTTGTAGGCGTGTATGTTGTCCTCTCTGCGTGTATGTTGTCCTCTCCGCGTGTATGTGTGTATGTGTGTGTGTGTGTGTGTGTGTGTGTGTGTGTATGTGTGTGTATGTATGTTGTCTTCTGGTGTGGCTTGTTGTACTTCCCCCTGGCGTGTGCTGGGTGTGGCTGCTCCGTGGGGAGGGGCGGGAAGGGTAAGGGGGGCACGGCGCCCTATGTTGTTGGCGTTGGGTAGGGGAAACGAACGGCGGGAGCCCGGGAACTCCAAAGTTTGACAGGTCCAGGCTTGGGCGTGCTTGGGTGTGCGCTTGGGGGGAAGGGCTTGGCACACGGCCTTGTATTGAAGTAGAAACGGCAGGACGGGACTGGGGAAGGGGGGAGGGGGGTGTGGGTGGTGGATAGCTTCTAGCAAAAGGGCAGTGGCAGATAGCCGGGACTTGCCACTAGTATCATCGAGTACTTTGTTGGGTACTTCTGTAGTAGCCCTTGGGCAAGACGCTGTGGCAAAGGAAGAGCATTGTGACACGTAAGGGCGTACCCTGAAATGGGAAAGATTGCTGGGCTGTTGGGGGACATGGGAGACAGGGCGGGCATTTCGATTGAAAGGCGGTATATCAGTTATGCTGGCGAGTGTTAGGACTCTGCGGGCTCTGCTCGATAACTACCAGAGTACCTGCCCGATGCCTCTAGCACTGCGAAATGTGGTACATAGCCCCCGGTAGCCCTGGTAGCTTGGGGAGGGTAGGCCGGCCGGAGCATTTGCTCCACGGGACCGTGATAGGCTTACGCAGCGCGCAGCGCTTACAACGGGGTCTGGCAGCTGGTACTGCAAGACTGCGAGCCTGCGAGACTACAACAGAGGACCTGCCCTGGACACCCATGGACGCCGCACCTGGCACTTAGCACCTCAGCCTCCATGTTCTAGACTGCGAGAACTGCAAGTGCTCGCACAAACCCGCATCCGCCGATGTCTGTGGTCCTGTCGCTAGGGACCGTCGCTGTAGCCCTGCCGCCCGTTGTGGCCTTCTGTGCGCCCCTGTGCTCTGTATGTACCTTGATCCCGTCTGGTTTTTTTTTTTTTTTTCATTGTGCCTAGCCTGCTCGCTGCTGGCTGCTGGTGCTGGGTGGTGCTGCCGCGGCTGCTCGTCCCGCTCCACTGAGACTAGATGAAGCTGGAATCGCCGCTTGCTCCATCATCTCGGCACAAGCGGTGTGGGGGGGGGGGGGAGGGACTCGGAGTGGATTGAAGGAAGGGAACAATGAGGAATAGCAATGGGAATCTCCCAGATTCCCTCACGATCCATGATCCTAGGGTCTCAAGACCAAGCCCAGTCGGAAGAGCGGCGAGAGATCCTGCAG